AAAGGGATGACAGAAGCGGAGCGGTACCGAAGGTCATAAGGCAGAACCTGTGATACATCCAAAAGGAGGTAAGGAGGGCGAGGCCCAGAGGGGCAGGAGGATGAAGAGAAGTGGGGATGATGACTAACTGGCTAGAATGGGAAGAAGCAGCAGTCCAAATAGGGATGAGGGGAAAACGCGAGAAATACATTATAAGCGGCGAAAGTGCCGAAGATGATCCGTGAAGCTTGGAGGTTGCAGAGCTTACAGAGCTTACAGAGGCAGGGTTGAAAGTCCGAGGAATATTGGCAATGGTGTTTACGTAGTATGAGGTCACCAATGCAATGGACTAAAGCCGAGGTGGAGTCAAAGTCTGAGGTAGGGACTATGACAGAGGCTCGGAGCAAAGGCACGAGCAGTGCCTGAGTATGAAGTACAGGGCAGCGGCAGAAGGTCGTAACTTGGCAGGAGGTTGGCGGGAGAGGACCAGAGGGAAGGGGGAAGGAGTGGCGGAAGGGAGAGTTGTCAGGTCCGAAGGTGAGTATCGGAGCAGACGGGAGAAGAGTAGGAGGATGACAGAAGGGTGGAGGTGTTGTGAGGAGGGAGCGGAGGAGTGGGAGGAGGAGTAGGAGGAGGGTGGTGAGAGGGGTGGTGTTCGGTCCGAGGTGGGTATCGGAGCGGACGGAGATAGGACAGGAGAGTGACAGAGGAGTGGAGGTGGCATGGGAGGTGAAAGGAGGTGTGGTGCCAGGACCGAAGGTGAATATCGGAACAGACAGCAGTAGGGTAGGACTCCGGAGGTGGTGAAGGAGGAGGTCTGGGAGTCGGGTCGGGATCGGGTATGCATGGATATGACAGCAACATTATGATGTCCCATGGAAGGCCACTAGCATTCCAACCATGGCCACCAAATTCCCTGATTCCTTTTTTGACGCTGATCTTCTTGGGCTAACTGTGCCGAGTACTGGGGAAGAATCCATTGATTCAGAGATTGGATGTTACCTTTGCCTTCCCCCTGCTGGAATGGCCATTGAACCTCTTAGCTGGTGGAAAATTCACAAAGGTTCTTTCCCCCAACTCTCTAAAGTTGCATGGGACTTTCTTGCTATTCCAAGTTTGTATTTTGATTCAACATCTTAACACAGATCCTTATCTCTCTTGACAGGCTCCTCAGTCAATGTGGAATGTTGTTTGTGTTGGAATTTGCACATGGTCTTTTAGGGAAACCTAAAAGTTGGACATACTGGGAATCGAACTCCAGTCCTCTGGATCGCAAACTCAGTGTGCACAGCCATTACACCATACACCCTATTAGGCTGAGGTGGTTATTCCAACAGTTTGAATGTGGGAATGGACATGATTTCACTTCGTTGTGCATCTCTTGGTGCAGAAACTATCCAAGACATTATGCGGCTTCAAAGCTTTTTTTTGTTATTGAACCAGATAGGCTAGTATGAGATGTAAGGTCCTGTCTAAAATATATACTTGTCTTGTCATACAGGAACCGTGGTTCCTAACCGAAACCATCAGCAAAAAATTGTTATGCTCCTGAGTGCTCCGGAGTATCGAGAGCACTGGGAGAATCAGGAGGAGATTGGCCAGTCCAGGAACAGCCCATTTCCTCCGGAGTTGGCTAGGTACTCCAGGGCACTCCCAGGAGGGCCTGGAGCATTGCTTTGTGCACAAACATATCCAGTAAATACAATTTAAATGCTTCAAAGTGTATAGGGGTGAGAAGCTTCTGGGAGCTCCTGGAGCATTTGAAAATGAAAAGGAAAAAAAGAGGGAAGATCCCCCATGAATACCTCCTACCACAAGACTAACACAACAAGACACTGCTTAACATTTAGATCAAACACTATACTATATATCAAGGACACTGAGACTCACCAATACACAATCAAAATTTATGGCCTGATATATGATTAATCTGGCAACTTAATCACTTTTGGGCTGGCAGAATATGGGGGAGGGGGAAATGGGGGAGAATGAGGGGGGGGAATGAGGGGGGGAATGAGGGGGGAATGAGGGGGGGAATGAGGGGGGGAATGAGGGGGGGAATGAGGGGGGGAATGAGGGGGGAATGAGGGGGGGATATAGAGGGAAATGAGGAAAATTTGAAAAATAGGGACTTCTAAAAAGTTGAAAAAAATAATTAGGGAAAAAATCAAAAAAAATTCAGGAACTGTAGTGCCTTTGAAGTGCTTTCAGGATATATAATTATTTGCAAAATCAAGGAAGAAATGATGGAGAAAAATGGAAAATACTTTCGGAGACCCGAGAAATAATGAGAACTGAATTGATGGGAAAGTCTGAAAATTGAATAGGAAAGTGAGGGGAAGCCTTGTAGCATTGTTATTTTCTGCTGTTCTGTCAGAAACTGTGTTCGAGGTGATCGCAGGAAGCGGAGCGGAGTACGGTGGCATGAGTGGTCACTTAGCTAATGAACTACTCCGTTGCAAGGCGTCGTGGGGATGGGACTTCGGCTTCAACAACTTGGCCAGAGCGTTGCGCCACGCGTTCTAGGCTGTCCCATATTTCACGTTAGTGGGAAAGACCTTGCAGCGACGTTGACTTAAGCGGGGATGAAGTTGAGAGGTGAACTTAGGATGAGAGTACTTGGGGGGGAATTCTAGTCGATATTCGAACTGAGGTACATTGACAGTAAACTACAAGTATAAATAATAAAGGAGAACAGAGAAGGGACCGGTTGGTCCGGTGCAGGATGGGAGCAGGATGATAAGTACGACAGAACTAAAAGAGCGATGAGGACCAGGGAAATGGAACAGAAGAAATGAATGGAACAGAGGATGGCGAAGTTGGGAGGCAGAATGAATAGGCCGACAATCTAGGCGCATGGATCAGAATGTCAATATACATATAAATCAAATGTCAATAAAGGAATAACCAATTGTCAATAAAGGAATGTCAATAAGGAGCAGATCAACGGCGACCATATCAACCGCTAGTTAGTTAAGTGAATGAATAGAATAAAACGGTATCGGCCGAATGGCTGAGGAACTCAAGTGGTGGTGGGAGAACGAAGGAGGCGCTGCTACGGGGCCATAGAACAGGAACCACTATCGGCGCTGCTAAGTGATGGGCAATGGCGAGATTAACGTGCATGAGTAACGGGCGCAAGAATGGGGGTGCAGAAAGTGGTAGAGGGGCGGGGACTTTGCAGGGCCGTGACATGTTCTGATTTTTCCTGATTCTTCTTGGTCTCATTCCCAGCTGCTCCTCAATACTCCTGGAAGCTCCTGAAAGCTCCTGGGAGGGTCCAGGAGCAGCTGGGAGTGAGCCCAAGAACAATCAGGAAAAATCAGAACAGCAGAAAATAACAATGCTTACAAGGCTTCCCCTCACTTTCCTATTCAATTTTCAGACTTTCCCATCAATTCAGTTCTCATTATTTCTCAGGTCTCCGAAAGTATTTTCCATTTTTCTCCATCATTTCTTGCTCAATTTTGCAAATAATTATATGTCCTGAAAGCACTTTAAAGGCACTATAGTTCCTGATTTTTTTTTTTGATTTTTCCCGAAAATTTTTTTTTCAACTTTTTAGAGACCAAAATTTTCCTCCCACTGCTCCAGGCACATTACATACTCCTCACCACTCCCAGCTGCTCCTGAACCCCCTCCCAGGAGAACACTATTGGCTCCAGGAGTGCCCAATCTGCTGTTTTGTCTCCCACATGCTCCAGCCACTCTTGATGCTCCGGAGCATAACGGACTTTTGCTGATGACTGGGGTCGGATTCACATCGGTTGCGGTTTGAAGGCTTCAAATGCGCCCATCCGAACGGTTTCCAACCGAAACCGATCCTAAACCGATCCGTTAGGAGCCCTAGAGAAAACTCGAAGCTGGCCACAGTGAGCCCCTGAGAACGTGCGCCGCTGATCCCCTATGAAATTACTTATGAAGCGCACTTCCACATGAGCGAAAGGCCCTGCAAAGGACATGACCGGTCTACCAGCAAAGTGTTCCTTCAAGAAGCACGTCACTGTGGGAAGTTTCCCTGTTTCATTAATAGCTTCCATGACTGCTCCAATTACGTGGGGGGAGATGTCTCGAAGCAATTTAATGAGCAAACGAGTCATCGAGTCCTCACAGCCCAAACCTAGTGCTAGACGCTCAATGGTGCTCGCTGTCTACCGATGAACATGATCGCGGTCGGTGAGGGCATCTTCAAGCATCGTGACGACTGAATTGAATCACAATAGAAAGCGGACTGAGGTCCAACATATTCGAAACCGGAGGACGGTGCTTTCAAGCAACCAGCACGGACGTTGAGTTCCGCCCGGGTTCGGTACTCGTTAAGAATTGCAGGGATGCACGTGAAGAGCCACATATTTCCGCTACGATCTCTCCGTTGAATTATCCTCCCAGCCATGGGTAACAGGTACCTAACAGCGCGGACTATGGAATGTACACACCAATGGCTACTGTGCTGCAGACGCGGCTCTGACGTTCTTGTACACGAACATCCGCAAGTAGAGCCGAAGGGACATCTTGCGAGCCCAGTGTTTTCGCAATCTGTTCACCGTTGCTCGGCGTATACCCATCTTATGGGCCTTCAGAAGATCAGGGAACTCGAAGCAAATACGCATCCACTCCCTGGCAGGTACACGATCACCTGTCGGGGCCATGTCAGCGAGGGTGAAAGCCTGATACCTCATGCTGCCACAATGTCCTATCAAGTTGATGGAGGCTTCCTGCACCTTCTCGTGACGATTCCGTAGGATGGGAGTCATGCGAGACGCTACGTGGACGAGGCGACCGTGACGAATGGGTGGAGCATAGGATTCAATCAAACAAGGTCTTTAACGGGAGGCTGTATCTGTATCATGTCCACGGCATTAATTGGCAATGGCGCCTTCCACTGCTATAATACTGAACCAAAGCCTCAACTAGAGTTTCATATGATAGTAACTAGATGTAAAACGTACCTTCCCATGGCGTCGGGATACTCCTCTCCCAGATGCCCGAAGCGCACGACACCCATATCAACTACTACCGAAACAATAAACCATCACAAAAGACTTACCCGACTGAGAAGCTAGTCCTCTCCGCATTGCATTGCTTTACAACGACCGTAAGCCGAGTAGTTAGGTCAGCACTGGCCTGCTGTCGCACTTTTGTTGTTTAGCCGCCACAGAATCGTATTCATAATTTGAGTCAGATACGACTTTTACTACACGACCGGATCCCTAGGCGAGATCAAAACTAGTAACAGGAAAGCCAGTAAAATCTTACGCATACCCAGAGTATCCCGAACCCGTCGAGCATCACCCGGTCTTCAGTTGTTTGCTCCTGGAAAGCGTAGATGATACCATCGACTAGCCGGATCTCCAGTTGTTCGTCTATGTCGGATGCGCCCAAAGACATGACTACTTTTCAATACCGCTTTGCTTCATCCTGTTTGACATAATAAGTGGGGATTCACTAAGAATTGCATTCTTACCCGCCTTGAGGCCATTGACTACTCGGCCCAGCCTCTATGTAGTATAAACATTGCTCCAGAGCCTATCAGGTTTTCATGACAATGAGAAGTAAATAAACGTCATGCCACCGGTGCTGACAAACTACAATTAGTTAACCAGAAAAGTCGGGGAAGATCTACTTTTGGCGAGTGGCCATGCAGGAAACCTTCACACACATATAGAAGTATGATTAAAACAGCCCTAGCAACCAGGCAAAAGATCCGCGGACATGCGTTCAGGCACCATGTCGCCAGCCTGAGGCTTACATCACTCACCTAGTATCCGGTATGACACTAGGTATGATTGAGCAGGTGTGACGAAGGTGCCACAATAGACAGACAACGCAGGTGGAAGTCATACCATGCATTGCAATAAAATTAAGTATTCAGAAAAACCGGCCCATAATATCAAGAGAAATAAGTGCGGTAGTTACGCTTGTGCAGAAGCCAAGAACTGTGCTGTAGCTTTATAGATAACATCATGCAGATTTTTGAGATCGAAAAGAGCGAGGGGAGGTGACTTGTGCTTAAGAGGCGCTCAATGAATGGGAATTGACAGCAAAGCAGCAACGATAAGACTTCGCCGAGGTATTGGAGGACGCTACATGTACGACTCTGTTGGCCAGAATTAAGCACAGTATAGCTATGGCTCCTGATCCAGAAGGAAGTTTTTTAACTGACATGTATCAATGAACCAAGTTAACGATGCACACCGTTTTTAAATGGGATATATGTATTGAAATGCCCTTTGCCCCAGTGCTGTGAAGGTGCCTCCGCAAACTTGAACGTGCGTGTAAGCTGAGGCAGGAAAAACAAGATTTGGGGTCAAGCCGAGGGTACGCTGCAGAATACTGGGCTCACTTGGCTAATAGTGTAGTGATGTAAGCTCCACCGAGCGGCTAGGACCAGTCAAGCGATCAGCTAGCTATGGTGAGTCGAAGAAGGCAACTGACCACAGTGGAAAGCAGAGTCGCGAAGTGGAGGCCATAGAATACGAACTGTCCAAAAAGTGGGTCAGTGCTCCCTGATATTCTGATAATCAGTGGGAAATGAAAGCATAAGCCATACAGCAAGCAAGCCGATAATCGCCAAGATGCTAGAATAAAATGAAAGTGATTAGTCCCAAACGCTGCCTGAATCGCTCACAAGAACATTGGAAATCGAACCTAGTGAATGCCCCAGTATTGAGGGCGTATATCGACAACTTCCTGATCACCGAATCGGTCCTAAATACAAAGGATTATATTCATGACAGACCGTGATCATTATTGACACTTACAGATGAATGCCCGTGCGGTTCTGTCGGAGGAAATAGCACACTGAAGCTGCAATGAGAAGGTCGGATGCGGCCTGAGTGACGACTTCATTAGGACACACGAAAAGTTTGGCACAAAAGCGGGCACCTCCAACGAGAGCCAAACAGTAACGAATGGCCGCAGCGAACCTGGGATAACTTCAACATTCTGCGATATGGTCCTGTTTATGAGGGGGGAGGGAAGCACATTAATACGATTACGCGAATGAGCGGGAGCACCACGTACGCCTTGATAAAAACGTCTGGGCGATCCAGATGAAATATGACCCCGGGCAGCGGTCACTACGAATCGAATGATATAGTTTACGGGATAGTTTGACGTACATAATCCAAAAGCTAAGTCGGGTATGAGTAATACATATCAAATCGCGAACCTGGAACAGGGCCGGACGGGTGGACTTACTGAACTGCACGATTGTCATTCCAGCCTTCAGAGATCAACGTCAACGCCTTGCACAGAAATCGAGGAATCAACGAACGATAAGTATTGGCAACCAGATCGAGGTACTAACTAGAAATGGCCCGGGACGCAATTAACCCTCGTTATGTGGTCATTCACAATAGAAAACTTACGCAGGTGAAGCCGAAATACAAAGAAGAACTGAACAATGGCAGAACTGATGACCTACGGGCCACAACCAAAATTTTTTCATCAGTCGTTATCTTGTGGATGAAACGGATTGGAAAACATACCGACATCATCAGGTGCACGGGAGCGAACCTGATAAACAGGTGAGACCCCATAGCTCACGAAGAGATTAAGGTGCCCTTCACCATTCAGTCCCCAAAAAGATGACACCAAAATCTTTTATCAAGAAATGATAGAAGGAGCACGTAGAAACTACGCTGTGGACAAGAATCAGGTTCATGGACGAGCAGAGAATAGCTAAAATTAATTCACACATAGAACATCTGCGCCAGCCTGCATTACCAGATGATAAAGAGATTTGTCATTGGCTCATACGAATGCTCCGATGGATCGGTACGTACCACAAAAACCCGACGACAACTTTGACATGGAGAGGATCGGTAGGGTATCTATGATAGTAGAGCGATCCCTGAACAGTAATTACGCCGCCCAAACTGATCAGAGTGGCCGAATGGTTGGGTTGCAATGATGCATGTGAGTCATCTAGCTCCTTGCCAAAAACTCCAATGACGCACATCGCATTGACTATGCCCCCAGCGAGACGACCTCCATAAAGGTTTTCAAACGCTGAGATAGTCATCTCTACGGCAAGTTCTCGCAAACGTAAGAGACCAAAAGTCCAAGTCAGCTAGCCCTTCACTCCTCATTTATAGGTCTACACGCTTGAGTGATGCTTCTTAGCCAGCCCCTGAAATAAAATCCAACAGCGAATACATTATCAACGGGTCTTGTGTAAAGCAAGAAAACACTTCAATCAGGCGAGTGGCTGCCGACGGGGCTGGGCAACCGATGAATGTCCATTCAATTCGCAATGAACGAAAATCCTTGGCTTCATGTCCACCGTCGTGGTAAGCTAGCACCGCTCTTCGGGCCCCAGATTATGCTAAACCAATTCTGCAGGCCTCAGTAAAGGGGATTCGTCGGGTCCGAAATGCAAACTGTCGCAATTCGATCACGTCTCCAATCATGTTGAGTTAGCCGAGCCCCCACTTTTTGAATATCTGGCTGTCCTGGGAAATGCGCCGCTGATCTCTTGGTGAAATGAAACACTTACATGAGTCGAGAAAGAGCAAGACAGATTCATTAGCAGAGGGTTCTTGGGAAGCGCATCATTAGATCACGGTCTGCCGCACATGATGGGACCGCTGTTGTATCTCCATATCGGATCTTCGATGCCATCGCTTTGAAAGCGAGTAGCCGAATCGATGGCATGCAGGCTTTTGACTCGTTCGTGGCCTCAGTCTTTATCACTTTGTACACTAATTCTGCCACTATACTACCGGGAAAGGTGGGCCGAATTCGATTCAACCTCAACCGACATCCCAGTTCTTATGGAACAGTTCGTCTCCCCAAGGGACTTGGGCATGCACCCATAATCCGTAATCAAATTTTCTCCAGGCCCACAGTCCAGGGCCGCGACCAGTACTTATACATAATTGGCTTCTCTTCATCGCCGACTGTTCCCGTGTTCTTTTGTTCAAAGGACCCTGGAGGTTGACTGCAACTGCAATCTCCTGGTCAGACTCCGAGTCCGTTGGGGTATGTGTGCTATGTCGGGCTTCTGCATAAGCATTTGTTGGGCTTGCAACGCACTTCTAGGCAACCGTTCACTGCAATTCCGAACCCAACTTTCCTGAATCTTGTAATTGGGAACCTGAACCTTTTTGTACCAACGTGTCATGCCGTTGGATGGGGGTTACGTCCGATCTGGCGGGACAAGACAATCAACCATGAACCGATAGACCAAGGCAACCTCCTGCGAAGTATGCTCAATAAAAGATGCTAACTTAGTAGCAATCCTGAGTCAATTCCCCATCAAGATGGAAAAATCTCATCACGTTGATCATGATGTCGCAGTCATACTGCCTGGCACAACGTATTTGCACTCATCGGTGACACTGAACAAGCCGGATAATCTCAATCCAGGCCTTAGGATTAATCAATTCCCTGAGGTGATGAGTTCCTCAGCCAAAACCTTGTCCACAATCCGCCACATCGGTGCCAAAGCGTTGACGGGACTTGTTTGGGGTACATATATCTGGCTCAAGTCGCTGTTCCGGATATGCCAGGTCCAACTTATTACTTGAATGGCAGTCTCCAACAAAGTAATTTCCCCTCATCACACCCGTTGACGGTGGCTGAATACGTCGACATAGAAGATCCTCATGCCACTGGGCCAGCGCTCATGATATCATTATGTCGAAGTCACCTAAAAGAGCTCGTGCTGTTGTGATGACTTGCTTCCTTTCCTCCGTCCATACTGGGCCCTGTGATGCCCAGCTATGCTCAAGCCCGAGTCTCAGAGGCCCTTGATCTGATCCACGCGGCAGCATATAACTGTGGCGTACTCCGTCCGGGGGATTTATATCACGCACACAAACGTAGGACAAATTTCAGCTCTTCCTTTTGGGTCAGCTCCTCCTTCCTAGCTGCTTTCTTGCCCCCGTCGGCTGTAAGCAGGGTCGGTATGTCGGAATTGGAGAACATATATGGCGGGTTCTTCGTCGGACTGGTGCTGAATGCGATGTATGTGAAGTTCTTGAGATCAGCGCCCACCGCCGTGCCTTGTGCATCAGTCAGCACTGACGACCCTTCCTTGTGTGACCACCGATCATTTCCCCCCTTCGAATCGTTGCCTGCCCGCTACAGTTTCCACGGTTTTACTACCGTGCAGATTTGGCTCTACTACCGCACGTACACAAACGACCGCATCTGTGCCAAATTAGTTGTCGGTTTCTTGTGGTAAGCTCAGCGAGGGATAGGATATAAGCAATGAGCTCATAATGCTTGCGTACACTTAGGCTCCTCCAGACGTTCCAGGTGTAAGTCCACGCCAGAACCTCTTCAGATATGCCCTGCACTGACCTTTGGCCAAGGTCGATTGCGACCTATTCTTCGTACAGATCCTTGGTGGGACATTTCGGAGTTCTCATGTCGCATTCGTCATGGAAAGTTCCTGTTGGCACTGACTCTGTTATGTTCTGACTTGCCTTCCAATAGGCACGATGCTATTTACGTGCCCATTGCGGTGCCCACTTTCAAATCAGCCAACGTCCCACTCGACTGACGTTATCACTCGTTTACAGGTCATCAGTTCCGCTATTGTCCAATTGTACTTTGCTCATCGGCTCTATAAATGTGAGTCGCCTTTCTAGGATACCTACCTTCGCACGAAATATTGCTCAGCTTGCGAACATTTCTAGTCAGCGGATCCCCCGGATTGGCTGTTGTTGTGGTACGCAACCGGACTAGCGTTCGGGGTGTCGTTGTGATGATCCGCATTTGAATCTAGGTTATCTTAACGATCGGACAATTCGGTCAGAGAATTGAGTTCTACCTTCACAGGCTGACACTAAATGAGCTTTGATTTCTCTAGGAGTGGGAACCGGTACGCCGATCATTGTAACTCACGCTCTATGATTCTGACTGTACCCTATCCAAGCCCTTTCGGTTCAAGTGTGGGTTCGCGCTACTTGCCCTTTTTTCCGATGACGTAATGATGTTCCTAACCCACTGGTAGGAACTTAGTTCACAACCTTCAGAACATCTTCTATCGAGAGCGACCACTCATGGTCTCCTGGCTCATCCTGGAGGCACGTCCCTTCATAGTGACACGATGAATACACTGGGAATCCCTCACGAATCCCATTCTAATGGCGATCTTGTTTAGGCTCTGGACGACCTGGTTATTGCTTTTTCGGTGTCATATTTCTTCCGACGGCGACGCACTGGGATCCCTTCGTGGGTAGCCCAACACTCCGATCAGAACTGTCGATCTGATGCATTCCATGACTACAATTTTCCCTTTCGTATTGAAGGACTGATTCAGCACTTCGACTGCTCACGACATATGCCATCAACTCGGGTGTGCTAACTAGGTGCCTATAATCAACTGCCGACCTGATCTCGTTTTGCGTGCGATGAGCTGATTCTTCTCGGACCCACTGGCAGCGCGATCGCAATAGTGATCATGTTTGATGTGCTTTTATTTCCTTACTCACTGACTATGCCAGGAATGCTGATACCGGATAATCCCTCTAGTTCGCACTCTACGGCCTCCATTTCGTACATTTTGCTCTTTGCCCCGTGAGTCCCGCGTGCATCCCCAAATTGGCAGTCCCTCTCTTCCCCTTGCTGATAATTACACTAGTCTCTTGGTGGTATTTATACCGGTAGCCTTTTGGCAAAGTACGTCCATAGGGCCATCAATCATTACTTTCTTACGGGGCCCATCTTGCAATTTCACGATAGCCTACATTCCCGCAAGAGAGCACGGGAACGACTTCTTCCTGATGGAGACAACATCCCTGGAATACGTTTATCACTTCCCCCAGACACTGTACGCATGCATAAAGCGGTGCTGAAAACCGTTAGATTAGGACATAACTCATGGGACCCTATCCATAGGCATGAAATATGACCACCCGCTTTGTCGAGAGTAGAAAACGCAAATTTGAGCCAACCTATTGACGCGATGTTATGCATCCACTGTGGGCAGGGTGCACCAACGCTCCTTTGGTTTTTCTCTCCAAATATTTATTCGTGTTCCTCGCACCACGCCCGTTAATTAACGTTCGGCAAGACTTGTTTGTATATCTAACTTACTGTCACATATATATATACGCCAATTGAACGAATGTCGCCTACCTTGGATCGTCTCGCGGCCCCGATTGATGAATCATACACACAAACCAAACGGGACAGTGACACCATTCCGAAGATAGCCACACATGACGGATGTGGACAACGCCAAGCAAGCGAAGTAATCATAAAGATGTGAGTGAGGATTACTGATTATATGAGCAACATGATAGAGATAAGCTAATACAACCAACTATTCCCGGATGTAACAAGAGACCTAGACAACAATGCGAAATAACAAAGTCAAATACAATGAGGATACTACAAACACCACGGAAGCAAAGATACACGTCACAACGTCGTAAACCGCGCGAGAGGCCATTACAAGAAGGTTGGATCGGGGAGGATTGCGTGTGTATGTCGTAGTTGTGCAATACTGAATGCGGGCGATTCCAAGAAAGCGAGGGAACGGGAAGGAACAGGGCCAACGAAAGATCAGTGTCCTGTCTGGCAACACTGGCAACAAAGGCGAGACCAAGGATATTTAAGCACCTGGAGCAGAAGAGCCTATTCGACTCGTACCCGAGGAGTTGATCTCAGGAGTTGAGCCGGAATCTGAGCCAAGCACTGGGGATAACCTATGGTGTTGAGTAGGTGGACTCGGTAACGGTGCCGGTTTGGTATCATGTGGTGGTGGCGGATACGAAGAAGTTGTGTGAGGCGAACCAAGTATGGATACAGACTGGCTCGAAGCAATTTGCTTAGGATACTTAATGAGGAAAGGAAGAGTCTTTGCGTTAAGCCTTCGGAAGAACTGGCAGGATTGGAAAGTGTATGAGACAGTAGAAAGTTAGATGGTGGGCAAGGAGGCGTACGAGAGCACCATATTTATGAGGCTGGTCGATGCCTTTCCATTTGTCTTCAAGTTTGATGATTTTCTCTTCGCGATCAAGATGTATAACCACCATCGAATGAATTGTCTGCTAGTATCATCAGTGCCTCTCCCCTGATGCTGTCGAGTCGACGAACTTTTTTCTGCTTCATGAATTTGAAGGTGTATTCCTGGACTTGACTGTACACTATTCGACTTGGCGAGGTGGTCGAAGCCAACACGCGATGCGAGACAGTTACAGTCTTGGATACAAACTTCGCCTAGACGCGGGACAGCTATGAGCATGACCTTTCATCGTGACTCTCCAAGGCATCACCCCAAACGCTGGAGTGCTGAAATAATGCACTCACCAGACCATAAAACTGTCCAGGCACAAATCCACTAGTGAGTTTTCAATACAAGAATCCTCGCGACAAAGTGGCTTACTTGAGCAGCATATTCCCGATACCCATGACACAAAGTCAGAGGATCCTAAATGCAAATGGCACGGAAAACGTCAGCCGGTTCCTTGACCAGAACGCTAACCGCGGCCGATGCCGTCCATTCGACACACCTCAAACACCGCGTCCTAAAATAGGAGACAGTGGCGTTAAGCCAGACGAACAAGTAAGACAGCATTGGCGTGCAAACCTTCCTCCAATATGTCGAAAATATTTCGATGGATGGATTTCCGGAGTAGAGAGCTAGGACAGAATCAAGTATTGCCCGTCGGACGGGGCCAAGTTCTGTTCGGTCCTCCCCATCTGCGAACGTGGGCTCGAACTGCTCGTGTATACCTTCCTCCTAAGTACCCGGTATTAGAAGATGTAAAGCACCTCAAAAGGACTCATGGCTATCGGCACCACAACTTACAGTCGCCATTCCAGAATAATGTGCAGCACCAGCAACACTGTTCAGAAGACTCTTGGTAGGCATCGGGGGAACATGAAGTGAGGCCGACAACGGAGGGGAAGTCGGCGGACTCCCCGGACTGGAGGTAACACGAGGAGAAAAATCACCCCAATTAAGGCTTCCCCCCCGTACAAGATTAAACGTGTCACGCTCCGCGGGTGATATGGAGGCACGGCGAAAAGAGCCTTCGCGGTGAGGACTCCTTTGTGACAATCGGCGAGAGGTGATAGGTGGATGAGACGAAGTATGTCCATCTAAGGACAATCTGTGATGATGACGCTGGGTCCCTTGCGCGGCACGAGCTGCCGCGGAGTGGGCAGCCGAGATACAGGATGTGGAAGGAGGCATCGATTGGCGCCGTGAGGGAATGTCCGACAGTTCAAATGGATTGAGAGGCTCTTGGGTTTCACGATCGCTAGTATCGGAGAGCTTTATATGGTCAATAGAGGGCAGTCTTGCTGTTGATGTCCCCGCTGTGGCAGTTGTTGAATCATGTTGAGTGTCCATCATTAAGAAGCTGAGTGTTGATGGTTTGCACGGAACCCCCCCCCTGGAATTTTCCCACGGTCAGCTGCCGGCCGCATGTTGATCCGGTGGAATCTTGTCATCATCGTTGTGTAATCACAGTTTCCACCTGGACGATCACAGTTGTCAGAAAGCTTGCTTACTTGAGCATCTCGGTAACCTGATGTGACAGCTGAGTTCATCCCAACTTGATACCAGCTTACAGCGACGAAGTTGCACTGGTCATTTTGATCTGCAACCAATGATTCTCTGATCTTCACCTAATTTCCGGGGAATGCTGGCCCGCTGACTTAAGTTTGTTCCGACTCCGTGCTTATCGCGTACGGGAACGGGTCGTGTTACCGAGATGAAATTGGAACGCTTGGATTACGTCGATGCGCGAGTGTGGTGCTCTTCATACATCTCATCCATGTGAATGGTGCGCGTGGCTCTATTAAGCTCGCACCATGTACGCTGCGCAGGGTCACTCCCTCATCTTTTTAGTCTTGGCCAAGGTTCATAGCCGACCTGGGCTACTAGCGTTGGGAATACTGCCTAAATCATGCAAAGCTGGTTGTGGGTTCGCATGGGGAGTTTCGCCAGGATCCTTCGCATTAGTGGACTTTGTGCGATAGTTCCGGGAGATGAAGGCGAAGCTGGTGCTTAAACTCTCTTCGCCGGGCCATCCCTAGATTCGGATTGTTGAGTTTGCCATCATCCTCGAATTGACCATCAAACAGGATGATGAAGCACTCTTGGATTATTGAGGTGAAAAACCAGCAGTTTTGCTGTGAGACAGAATCTCATCAATTCATGGGCACTCATTGATTTCTACCAACAGACCTTGCTGAGACTGTACGTCCTTAATTCCCCGACAACAACCTCGAGCAGCCGGGTGAACATAACCAGTGGCACAGAAGCTGGAAAAGTCATGATTGCTTCTGCTTCTGGAGCATAGTCACGAAGACATTCTGCATTACGTGAGAAGCTCGCCTGAATTGCTGAAACTGAGCAATATGGAGGCTATGCAACGACAAAGCTTACAAAATCCTTAGCGTCGGAAACCCCGCCCTTTAATACAAACTTCCAGAATGGGATCCTCTTGTCATGGCGCCGGTCAAGACGGATGTAAAACTCGCCACCGTGACCATGAAGTTGCTCGACGTCAAGGATCAAAAACCGATGAGGGACGCCACTTATCTTGCCATATCGTTTGAGCGACACAATCTGTGCCTTTCGTGCCAGTGAACTACGCTGGAGGTCCATGCAAAACTTTTCGAGAGTGCAGATTGTGTATGCATCGTGTGGGATGTGACCGAGGATGTCAGGCTCATAGTTGGAGTGACGCGTGTCGCGGGCATCTGCCTTTGTTGACGACGTCTCCGGCGGCAAAGCACTGTATGATCCGCCAGGTGGTGACGCGACTTCCTGAAAAGAAGTTAACGCCGACTGTTCGAATATAAGGATGACGGCTACGTGCACGAGTTGGTTGGGCAAGTGTAGAATCTCCGATCACTAGGCCGAGGTGTCTGGACGGGATAGAGTGAACCAACGAGAAAGCACCGAACATGAACGAACGCGTTCCCCTTACCTGAAAGACGTAGTTACTTCCAGCATGCCCGGTCGCAAATTTGGCTGGAACTCCATACATTGTGCAATAACTCTCCCAACCTCATCTGGTGGATCCCAGGTATACGGAGGTGTCTTTCTCACTATTGCAAACATGACATGAACATCACGTAACTCGTGATAGGGGGGCTGATTGCTAAGAATCTTGACGATAGGCTGAAATCAACAGTCTAAAACTATGTCTAAGAGCGAGTTCACCTCAGCAGATGTGCATCCGAATGCCCACACATCGCTCCTTTCATCTCGGTGAACCTCGTTGTCATCGGCGTTGAAGAGCTCGGGAGCCATAAAACGCGGGCTACGAATCGCACTCGACCCTTCGGCATACGTGGACCTATCGCCAAGGATAGATGAAACCCCAAAATCGCATAGCTTCGCTGATCCCTCGTGGTCAATCACCACATTTCGCTGAAGAATGGATTCGAGTGTAATGAGATAAATGACCGCGAGCAGCGGAAACCGGACGTGTGTACCGGAGTGATATCTCCATGAACAATCCCTCTTAAGTGGAGATAGGCAATACCTTCCGCAACCGAGCAAATCTGAGTTCGGATGAACCTCTTAAACACTGAGGCACATATGAGCACTACTTACAATCCGGCCGCGATCAGCAAGTGGGTGATTACGAAGATACTTCTTCACGTCACCCCCCTCGCACCAGGTGGAAATGAAGCTGGCAGTTAGCCTATCCGCCATACCTAACCCGATAGTCCAACCGTGAAGGTCTACGATGTTCGGATGACGTAGATCCTGCCAAATTTTCAACTCGGTTTCTAGTCTCTACATGTGGCGTCTGTCGGCATGAGCTGAAGACAGTCAGCAATGTCCGCTCACACGAGAAAAGATGCGAAATTTGACATCATCCATCACGTCCACCTGATGAAGGACTTTGACACAGACATATTGCTGAGACTTGACGCACCACCAGCGACAAGATTAGCCCAGACATCAATGGCCAAAGGACGTCCGACAGACTTGTTTATAGACTCCAATGAAGGTGCACGCAAAACCCCCAGAAGCTTGACGGGCCTCATAATTCACCTCCACCAGACCATCAAGGTTACGATTGTCGATCGCAATGAGACTATCCAACAGGCAATGGAACTTCTGCTTCGCTTTTTGGGACATCGTACACGCTGGAAGTAAAGAGATAGTGCGGTTAGGACTGCTCACAAACAAAGGGAGGATTAAAACGGAGAATGCACCAAGCCGTACAGACCAAACTTAGCGCGCGCGCGCGCAGCGTAACAGAAGCTCGGAATGAGTTCGTTCACACGCTACACAATTCTGGACTTGGGCGCCAATTCGATACTCGAAGAGAAAATTATTAGGCAATGGGCAACATGAGTGAAAGAGTACAGCATATGTGTGCACAACGAACACCTAAGCCAGGACGCAACACCTGTTGACAGACAAGTGGTGGACGGCTCGTATGCTTGCCATGGACGGCATCACACGTAACCGAACACCATCGCCTCCTCACTGCCATTGTAAGGGGAAAATCATAACAACAGAATTCCCTCGGAAGGAACGCCAACATCAAGTGTGGTTCGTCCTTCCGAGGGATGTGTTGCTGTCTCGTGCCCGAAAAATGGTTTGTCTTGGAGAATCGCTGTGGGGTCGGGCTCCCGCGCGCGGTCGGCTGCCAACGCCTTTCAATCCCAGGCTATCACATTACGATCAATCTCTGTCCAGAAACTTTGCTCCCTGGTTTCACGGTCCGGCATTTCAGACTAGAATTCCCATGCTCTAAGCACGCTCACAAAGTTGTTAACGGCCGGTTTGATTGGTGGCAACTCCTGGTCTTCACCTGATCCCTGAATGCTGGCTCTGTCCAATCGCATGCAAAGGAGCAAACCGAATTGATAGCGTTACCGACATAGAGCTTGTAGTACATGATCAGCCCGCGAACCTAGCCTATTACAAACAATTAAAGAATGCATCGCTCGCATCGCAATCGTCGGCAGGGCGACTTGTTTCTTTGAGCTCTCACCTCTCTTGGCCAACGTCTGCAGCCGACCAAACTACTACACGTCGAGAACGTCTGACTCATGGTCCAAGTGCTAGAGATGGTCGTGAGTTCCAATAATACGGATATTCACCAGGATCCCTGGTATCGGGGGGCCCGTTCTGGAAACTGGAGGTAAAGCTTGTCCCTAACTTGTGCTCGCCGAGACATTCCTAGGCCTGGGTTGTTGAGTTCCCCATGCTCGAACCGGCCATCAAATAGGATGATGAAGCACTCTTGGATTATCGAAGTGAAGAACCAACAGTTTTCCTGCGGCATATTATACCATCAGTTTATGGGCGCCAATCAGGTACTACCGACGAACCTTACTGAAGCTATACGTCTTTAGTTCCCTGACAATGACCTCAAGGAGCTTGGTGAACATAATCAATGGCACAGGAGCTGGAAAAGTCATCAGAGCTTCTTCCTCTGGAGCACAATCACAAAGATATTCTACATTGCGAGAGAAGCTGGCCTGGATTATCGAACTGAGTGATATGGAGACGATGCAACGACAAAGCTCACAGAATCCATAGCATCAGAAACCCCGCCGTTAAACATAAACTTCCAGAGCGGGATCTTTTTGTCATGGCGCCGGTCAAGACGGATATAGAATTCGTCGCCGCTGTGACCATGAATTTGCTGGACACGAAGGATCAAAAACCGATGGGGGACGCCAATCTTCCCCCCATGTCGTTTGAGTGATATAATATGTGCACCTCGCGCCAGTGAACTGCGTTGGAGGCCCATGCAGAACTTTTCGAGCGTGTAGATTGTGTATGCATCGTGTGGGATGTGACCGAGGATGTCGGGCTCACGGTTGCGTTGCATGTTGTCTGTGCCTATCCTTGTTGAGGATATTCTCGGCGGTAAAGCATTGCGTGCTCCGCCAGATGGCAGCATACCCTGGAAAAAAGTTAGCACTGGCTGCCTAGATATAGAAATGATCTCTACGTGCACAAGTTGACCGAGCGAGTGTGGAACCTCCGGTCACTAGGCCGAGGCGTCTGGACAGAATAGAGTGAGCCAATGACAAAGCGCCGAGTATCGACGAACCCGTTTCCCTCACCTGAAAGATCTAGTTACATCCAGCATGCCCGGCCGCGAATCTCGCTGAAACGTCATACATCGTACAATGACTTCCCCAACCTCATCTGGTCGATCCCAAATATACGGGGGTGTCCCACCCGCTATTTCAGACGGAACATGAAACTCATGTATCCCGTGATAGGGAGGCCGGTCACTAAGAATCTTAATGGTAGGTCGGAATCAGAAGTTCCAGGATCATCTGAAACAAGAATCTTCACCTCAGCGGATGTACATCCGAATGCCCACACATCGCTCCTCTCATCTCGATGGACCACTGGGTCATCGACATTCAAGAGCTCAGGAGCTATGAAACGCAGGCTGCGAACCACACTCGACCCTTCGGCATATGTCGACTCGTCGTTAAGAATAGATGAGACCCCAAAATCACATAACTTCGCTAATCCATCACGGTCAATCACCACATTTCTCTGCGAGGGGAACGCAGGCACAATGAGAAGGGTAGCCACAAGCACCAGATATTGGACCCACGTACCGGGGTGATGTCTCCATGGACAATTCCTCTCAGGTGAAGATAGGCGACGCCTTCTGCGGCCGAGCAAATCTGACTCTATGAGACTGCCTCTCCTATGTCGAAGTACGTCCAAGAACTACTCACGATTCGACAGCGGTCAGCATCCGGGTTTCTTTGAAGATACCGCTTGACGTCACCTCCCTCACACCAAGTGGAAATGAAACTGGCGGTTAGCTTGTCTGCTTCATCTAACTCGAGAATCCAACCGTGTAGTTCTACCACATTTGGATGATGGAGGGTACGCCAAATCATCAATTCGCGCACAAGCCTCTTCATGCGGTGTCGGTAAGCCGGAGCAGGCGCTTGGACATGCGGTGGAGACTCACCCGGGAAAAATCGTAAAACTTGGAATTATCCATCACGTCCACGCTATGAAGGACCTTGACACAGACATGTTTCTGAGGAAAAATTGAGCACAAGTCAACGACAATATTAGCCCAATCGTCAATAACTCAATGGCGGCTTTACAGACTGATTGCCAGACTCCAGCAAAAGCGCGTGCAAAACTCCCAGAAGCTGGATAGCGCCCATAATTCACGTCTACCTGACCCACCAAGTCACGGGCATCGATCCGAGAAAGCCTAGCCAACAAGTGACGATGCTCTTGCCTAGCTGATTGAGACATTATACGCCCCGGAGGTGAGGGGTGATGAGTGTAGGTGTCTCACAGATGAAGTGAAGGGGGGGTCAAATGTGACTAGAATTTTAGGCGCGCAAGGTGAGCAGCACATTGGTTATGGACACACGCGCGGTTCGCTGCTCAACAAGTAACGAGCCGCCATGCGAAAAGATGGCGCGTCCGAACTGAGTGGAAAAGCGCACATACGGGTACATACACTTTTCTCATATTATTGGCCGGCCCTAGCTATCTCTAGAACGGAATGCAAGTGGCTGTACGAGTGCAGCCTTGACACCACAGAGAACCGCAAACAGGACCGAGCGTCAGAATCTAATCAAGAAACAGCATATTATATTCTGCCTTGCAGATCCGACACGTTCATTCGATAATTATCAAGAATTACGGCAAAAGTTATAGAATGGCGCTATCAACAAGAACAATGCACAAGAGTAAATATGTCCAGGTATATTCTCTAACTACATATAAAAATTAAATAGTTCGGTCAGAGCTTGTTGTGAAGTTGTCTTCGGGTCGTGAGCCAGATTCCTCGTCTATGTTCCTGAGCCAAGCTCCGATCGCCCCTCTGTAATGTCATTCCAAGTTAATTTAGACACCTTGAAAAACGAGAGACGCAGAAATATACGCACAAGAACCCTTCGTGTCTCAAGAACATAGCCTTCTTTGTCCCCTTGCTCCAGAACCGTATGGCATACGAGAGAGTAGCGACCGTGGCGGCATGCCCTATCATTATCACATGTGGTAGTGGGTTTGCTGTGAGCTTAATTAAGATCTCAGGGAATATGATTACTGACCTCGGATGAAGCATCCTCCAAAGTAGATTCTCTCGAGGCCATACTTTTCCGCGTTCATGTAGCTGTAAGAGGATAGTAAGAAGATACGAAAATCATGAACATGAAATGCGATCGAACGGATGATCATAGATCGTAATGGAATAGGCTGGGGTGGGTTTCACCACATGGAAATCAAGCAGCATGTCCACTCACGCAATCTGTCCGATATTATTCGATATGGCATACAGCAGTGACTTGGCAATATCCTCTGGACGAAATTGCTTTTTCTCTTTCCCTTTCTTGAAGACCTTGCCAAACGAGGATGCAATGACACTGGACTTGAGACCAAGTCGGCCATAATCTTGTCCGTAGATATCTGCAACGAGCATGTCTATACTCTCGTTCGAACCCGTTTCAGAAAGGGTAAGCATCTCTGATTATAAAAGAACGCCTAAAATTAGTCTTGCTTGCAACGTTGGAATGGAATGGCTGACCATCAAAAGACGTTGCGGGCGTTAACAAACTTAGCAGCCCCCACAATGTCCCACCACCTAAACTTGTTCCGCTCACACGCTCAAATTTTCCATCCTCGTCGACTTTGATGATCGACACACCAGATCCAATGTTCACTAATAGACAGGGAAGCTGGGCATTCGGCTCCTTGACGTACGTCACACCGTACCGAGGTGGGTCCGGGGAGGGTCTTTGCAGCTCATGCAAATCGTGATGGGTCCCATTACTCTTCGACACCTCCGCAATCAGTTCGTCCGAGAAGAAATACGCCTCATTTGGTATTGACGTGATGAAAACCAAGCCTGTGATCAAACACTCCATCTCGTCCTCCCTCTGAACATCCACGCCCAACTCCGTGCTGAATAAGTCGTAGAACCGATGGGCGCCTCCGCCCGTAGCCATGATCTTCACACTCTTCCGCATCTCCTCGATCGAGACGCGGTTTACATCCGCCGAGCGGGAAATGAGCTGTTGAATGAACTCGACGCATTCATGAATGTTGTCTGTTTCGAATCGTTCAAAGTTGAGTGAACCACCCGGCACATTCTGAAGCGTTTGCCGCCGGAGGAGAGCGCCTCGTAACTTGGCGCTTTCAATGGCACCCCCTTTGTTCTCGCCGCCACAGCCGACAAATCGTTGAGAAATGGTGGTCATACGAGGACCTTCGAGGACCAAAGGTGTCAGTGCACCTGTAAGCTTTGGACGCCTGGCAGGGATTGATAGAGACGTGGAAGGGTCTTCGACATCAGGAGGCGTGGATGGGATGGAGTCGCTTGATATTATGCTTTCTGAGTCGAGGGAATCTTCAGTTGAGGATTGAGGCGGAACAGGGGAACGAGTGAAATAAATGATTTTGGCCAACGAGCCACCAATCTAAGATAATTAACCGCACAGCAGCAAGCGCATTGATGTTCATGGAGGGCGTGACGAGCCGTTGGAGGAGGTTATTTGATGCATCAGTCCACTCGTACGATTACCCCAGCGATGCTTTACTCACGTCAACTGCGATGTGTGACACTGGTTCCACATGATTGGGGAGGTATATTCCTCTACTATCTCTCGTCTATAGTCCCGTTGCATGATACCAATCAAACAAACGAGACGCATGAATTAAGTTCCCCCACGTCGTCATCTGACGGAATGAGGTAACGCACCTCAGGCGATTCTTCTTGTAGTATTACTGCGCCCCTTGTATCGACTTGGATGTTGCGCGGCACTGGTATGACGCCAGAAGTGCCAGGCATAGTGCTCAGCTGAGGTCAGCGTCTAGGCTAACGAACCTCAGCCGAGTATGGGTACAAAGAGAGTTGCCGCTGGCGGCCAACCCCAATAAGCCAGAGCGCAGCTATAAAGGCTCACTCAGCAGTAGCACAGCAACCTGATACGTTTGATGACTCCGTGAATATGGTATCCTCAGCGGAACTTGGGGGAGATGACCCCCAGCTCCGATCTCAATCAATATTACGGTCACACCCGACAAGCTCGCGTGAACTAACGCTCGGAATGAGACAAACCTGTTTAGAAGAGCTTCAAGAGGTATACTGTAAGTACTACGAAGCATGGCATAAACTATGAAACCGGAGGGATAGAGTAGGGAATTTTAGATTACATGTGATGCAATCATGCCAGGAAATCTTTGAGGAACGACAAACACGGCATCACACCACACAGCGATTAGCCCCCAATGGCTGCAATCACTAGGTTACAAGCCGCTTCCTTCTCTGCTCGCACCCCTAACTCGAGGGTGACGCCTGTGTCGGAAATGTAGGTCATCCTGGCGCGAACGATGGCCTTGCCACCTCCGCCGGTAATGATACCGGCAAGCATAAGCGAATGTACCGACTGGGATGTTGGATGCTCACTACCTCCAAGGGGCTCCATGTTCAGGATCTCAATGATAGAGTCGCACGCCGCTAGAACGATAACACGGTAATTTAGGGACCGGAGCAGGGCGTGGATCTAGGCACTCACCCTTAATACTATCCATAGCAGACAGCGAAAATGTCTCAACCACGCTCGGCCCATTAGCCATCCTGGCCCATTCGGACTCAAATGAAGCATAGGTAGGAACAATGTACTCGGACCCAGCCCCGATTTCCACCTCCTCGACCTGGTACTCGTCTTCATACCCTTCTTCCTCCGGTTCGCCACTTGAAGGGTCAACCTCCTTGCTGATGAATTTGAGCGTAGAGAGGAACGAGCCCAAAACATATTCAGCGGGGTTTTCGCGCGTGAAGGAGACATACACGACTTGAGGTGAGTTGGCGGAAGTAATTTGAGGGGCAGGGATAATGAAATCTTCCGTGAGACCTGCTTCCGAAGTAGCCTGCATGAGAACGGACACGTTCTCGAGAATGGTATCAGGGAGAGTATTGGATACATTGAACTAGGTTGTGTAATTTAAGTGACGGCATTCCGGAATTACGGCCCACAAAGCTGGGGCTGCACTTACCTGGAAAACAATGTGTTCTTTATATACATGTTTGACGCACGACACAGTGTATTCTGTCTCGCTCTCCGTAAGTTGGGTGGGCTTCCAGCTGCTGTTGATCACAGAACCGTACGACTCAAACTCTGGCACGGCAGCAAGCTGTTTCGCGTATGCCGATTTGGCCTCTGCGATAGATGGAGCGGGAGCGGTGGAAGTAGGAGCTTTTGGAGCAGGTATAGTATGTGCCGTTTCAAGAGCACTGGGACCTAGAGTATGTTACCAGGCGACATTAGAGTGCGGAAGGCCGACGGAAGGGTGTACAAAGCACATACGGGCGCTCTCTTGTCTGGCTTGCTCCTTGCTGACTTTGGGTATCGAGGAGGTGTCAAAAGGGACGTCACTAGCGTTCGCGTCCAGAATGTAGGCAGCAAGTTTCGACTCCAAGGCAGCGAGAGAGAAAACAGATTCTGTTCAAGTTATTAAGCAACGCAGTAGCTTTCTGCCCTTGTCAAAAGACATACCATCCTTAACATATGTTTCGGCTAATGGAGGCTGGTTCATCACCTTCAAGTACATTGCTGCTCTATCGCGAACCTCATCATCCACATCATCGAGACAGCTGGCTTCATCGTAAGCACACCTCATCAAGTGACAAAAAGTAAAGTGCCACCTACCGAGTTAGCAGGACTCGAATACTCTTCTTAACAGCCTGATCCACCACATTTACCCCGAACTTCGCCAAGCTCGAAACCGCTGCAGCCCTAACCAGCGCATTCTCGAGTATAACCCGGTTATAGATGTACCGGATATACCTCGCGGGCTTCGGAGACTTAGGTCCTTCAATACCCAATAGGTACAAGATTCTAACCGAGAGCTTCGTGAACTCGCAGTCCTCGATGAATTCGCACAAATGAGCGAGGGCAGCCTCCTTGGAATCCTCGATGAATTTGATCATGTCGAAGATCGCTTCCACGACCGCCCGTTTGAAGTCATATCCCCCCTCATCACGTAGGACACCGGCCAAGAAGTTGAGCATAGTTGCTTGTTTTCCTGGGAATTTGAGGCACAGGGAGCGAATAGCATCCACAACAATGACTTTGAATTCATCACTAATTTCGTTCATGAAGCCAGAGATTTGTTTCATTAAGCGATCGACGGAAGCTTCATTACCAGTCTGCGAAACGGTATTAGTTGAAACTCATTCAAGGAGCTGATTACATGAGCGACACACCTTAAGGAGTGTAGTGATAGCATATGTAGCGATGCTACGGTTGGAATCCGCGATGAGATTCTCTATGTCTACATTACAAGTAGAGACTGGCCCAGGGTGTGTAAGTGCAAGCGTACTCAATGTCCGAATGGCCGCAAACTTGAGCGTAGGCTTGGCAGACGACAAGAAAAGTTGCAAGACTTCACAGCAGAGGCGAAGATGTCAGTGTCAAAGGCCGGAAAATATATCAAGTAAAGCTTACCCGCAATAGGTCTGACGAGCTGAGCAGACGAGACGTTACGAATCTCACAGATAGCCCGAGCAGCTTCATAGTTAACCATATCGCTCTTATGACGCAGCCATCCTTCCAAGAGTTCAAGCATCTGCCTCTGAACACTAAACAGAGACAGGATTTATCAATTCCGCTTATTCAACACCCCATCGCACTCACTTGGGGTCCTCATCCAAAACCTTCGCGGCGTATCGAATCAGCATACACAATGCCATCGGATTCTTCAACGTCGTCCCAGCGCCAGACTTCCCTCCTCCAAGCTGTTGTATCATTTTTATCACCGCCATCCGATCCTGCTGTCTCATCAGGTACAACAAACCAAGGGCATGGTACTGGGTAATATAGCTCGTGGATGGTACAGCCTGGTACCCGCCGGGCGACGAGGACTGCGAACCCGTTGAGAAGTTAAGATATCCCCCAGCTGCACTGGTCCCAAAGAAAGATGTTGTTGATTTTGCATTGACAGCATCTTGTGCTTCGTTCACCCAGCGTTTGATAACTTCTCTTGATGATGGAAAAAGATGGTAGGAAGAAACGAGTGCAGCGGAGGATATGGAAGGATTACGATCCACAATAGCGGTCTTATAAAAGCGTTCGATCCCTTGAGCCATTGAGCCCTAAAAATTCATAATAACCGCAGTAATTTCTCTAACGTCAACGGGAGAGAAAGTGGATTCACGCACGTCTATTATCCGACATAGTGCACGGATGGCATTGGGACGATAAATGACCTCTAAGTTAGGTTGCATATCCTTCATAATGCTGCTCGTCACCATGATCACATCGTCAGCAGAAAGTGCCAGCTCCTTTATTGCCAGATACACCGCTTGTCTCAGGGCACTCTAAATAAGACAAAGGCAGCCTCATCAGATCCCAACTATCCCCAAACGAGAGCACGCGCCACCCCATCCAAACGTACATCCTTATTCTGAAACAACTTTGTCGTCCCGAAGAAAAGTGTCGTAGCCTCCTGAGAGCTAAACGTCTCGCCCAAATAAAGCAAATAAACGATCCGCGTCAGCAGCGCTCGGCATTTCCGTGGACTGATAGGAGATTCATTGAACACTCGTGCTTCCTGTATGATCGTTGTTTTGTTGTTATAGTAAGACCCAAGCCCTGTCTCCTCATCCTTCTTCGCGAGGCTCATCGTTTGTAATGTGAAGAATTAAGAATGGGAGAAAAGGGGAGGGACGAGAAGAAGACGAAATACCAGAGGACTGCGACGCGAGGATACACGTCGAAGCGGATCGTTCAAGTTGATCACGTGTCACTTTCCAGTCGACGGTTCAGTGGGGCCACCGCAGACTCTTGGAAGTAGCTGCTTGCGAAGTCACGTATGGTCAGAGGGATACGTGCGCATCATTTCACAAAAATTGCCCCAACTGTTGATTTTGTCCCGATGCGCATACTTGAACGCGACAACACAAGCCAACCGTCATTGGCACCTCACCGCACACTCGGGTCTACTGGTCGCAGAGCTGAGGCGGAAGTGAAAATAGACTTCTGAACGATATATTTGAGCCTGATTCAAGCTTCTATCCACACACAAAGCTGCATGGACTATGGTGGTCAAACCTCAAGCCTCGTCTCAGCGGTTACAAGTCACCCACGCTCGGTAAAATTCTCATATGACAGCGCCCACCGCTCGATTCTTAGAAAGTAGGAAGAACAGAAAAGATACAGCACCGCTACTATATACAACAAATGTGAAGGGTCAGCCGATCGCCCACCAACTCGTCTACACGTTTATCCCGAGCCCAAGGTACAAGGAACAAGCGTGTGAATGAACCAGTGGGAAGTGTAATGAGATGTGGTGAGCGGAAGGTGAAGGGGAGGGGAAATCAAACAACCTAAAGGTGTGAATCAGCGTCCAAGAGATGTTGCTGGTGCGGAGTGGCCGGTCGAGTGATGAGAAGATCGGGGGGTCGAGAAAAAAAAACCAAACACTAAATCGGAAGATGATGAAAACCGCATCGTATCGATCAAGGGAATGTTGAGGACCGACGATTCGCAATTAGTATGTAGACAACGAGGTCGATTGCTGAAGAAAAACGCGCATAACGTCATCAAATATGCACATAGTTCTATCTCGCACATACAATCAAGCACCAAACCACGAGACGAAGGAAGGGAGGAAAGCAGGATAAGCTGGACGGAAGTGCGCTAGCACGAGGACGACATGAAAAACCGCACGCGGTTGGGCCGTCACTCATCAGCATTCTCCCCGACAACTGAACACATAGTCGTGCACAATATCCTGGCCGAGATCGTCTCAAGCGATATAGACGAAGGTAGCTCACAAGCAAGAACC